ACTACGAAACGCGTCTCGCGACGCTTGATCTCTTTCCCCTGGAGTACCGTCGCCTCCGAGGGGACCTAATTCTTACCTACGCCCTGTTTGAACAAAGCTTGGCAAACAGATTTTTTACCGTTGACCCAGCAAACACCCGGCGAGGACATAGTAAGAAAATCTTCAAGCTCAGGGCACACACATCCGTTAGCCAAAACTTTTTTTCATTTCGGGTAGTAGCTGCGTGGAATGACCTTCCTCCGGCGGTTGTACACGCTCCTTCTCGAACCCATTTAAAGCACTATTCAATGAAATTTAGTGAGCTGCAAAAATACGAGCGTAGATTAAGATGGTTTTGAGCTTAGGCACATATGCAACAAAATTCAACATTTTCGTACCAAAAGTTTCAATTCACACTCAAATTTTTCATAGCTAAGAGCACTGTGTGGTTAATTGCCCCAGTCTACACACTGCGAAACTCAATCGCTTACCAGTTAATTATTGTAAGTTACTCTGTGCAGGCAGGTCATCACGCCACACAGTTCTGGGGGCAGTTACAGATAGGACTCGTATTGTGGGCTCTTTTTTGATTGATTACGTGCAGCCAAACTTATATTTTGTTTAACGTTCTATCTTACAAATCCTAGATAAGTCTGTTGCCTTGGTTGTGCCAGTTATCAATGGTTTGTAGAATTTGTGTCGGTTTCCTGAAGTTCTTTATATAGCTACTTGTTTCGTTGCTGTGGAAAATGCAGCAGATTTTATACGCGGGAAGCCACTGTAATGTTCCCATCGCCTCCGCATGTTTGTGCTATTTTAAATGAGCAGGTTTGTTTATCGGTTTACGTAGCTGGCATTGTTTTGTGATCCGATCAACCACGTACGTTCCTACATATTTTCACTGCCAAAAACATATATTTTCATTCTCTGGCTGTCAAAAAAATTGTTTCAGCGCCGCACGAATCTGTGTACTTATTCCTGTTACTGATGCCCAACCGTCGTTTAATGCGAAGGCGGGTAGGCGATCGGTTTTTCCGATTGGGTGTCACTTGGATCACAAACCGCACCAGCAACTGCAACACCGGCTGACCGGAGTTGATTCTCCATCTGTGTAAACTGTGTCCATAGTTCGTAGGGCGCATGGTAGTCTCACATCTAGTGGAAAGAGAAAGATGCG